GTTCTGTTCTGCTCTGCTCTACTAAACTACATCAGAGTGTACCATATCTTCTTGTATTATATTTCTTATACATGCATTATATCATACTCATTTGTATTCTGTCCACTAACCAACTGTATGTTATGTCTTTGGTTCCTATATTCTTTATATTAGTAATTGGCATCATAAGGGTAACTGGTAGATAGCACATGGGCTCAGGTGCATATTTTGCAAAATGGATATTCTAAGTCAGTGGTTCTTAATTTTTGGTGTCTGCACACTCACCTGGGAAAGTAACAAAGGGTACACAGGCAAAGATTCACTGAAATAAGAGAAGTTTGATACATGCTCCTAAAATATCATCATGTTGTTTCACCCAGAATTTGAGTATTGTAACTCCAGGCCACACACTGGCAGGATCTCACAGGAAGTTTTGAATACCTGCCCGTAAGAAAAGCACAAATTGGAAATTTCCTCCAATTCCAGGGGAAATTCTACTTCAGTCAATTTTAACAAAGTCACAAATGAAAAACAGTAAATGCCACAGGTAGATTTTATTCAACTTCTTACATTTCTCTTACTAAATAAATCCTTTGTGGTGGACAGGGACATTAGGCAATCCTACCTTACAGCAAGTTTGTGCCAAAGGACTCTATTAAAATCTTTCCCAACCTGAAGAGGTTTTTATAAATCATACTAGTAAGTATGGATTGTTCATGTTATTTTCTTGTGGTTTTCAACCCAAGCAGAGATTTGTCAGCTAGTGTAGTGAGAATTGTCCCCAAACCTTTGCCAAAATAACTCTACTTTATGATGCCCCTATATAGCTGTCCAGTGAACCCCTGGTGCTGAGCTGCGTGCCACTCTGCAGCACAAGGTCAGCCATATTTACACTAGACGGTGCTTACTGAGATTGGCAGGGTTCCTGATAATGTTGGAATGAGAACAGAGTACATACATTTTGCCAAAGATCCTTCTTGGTTTTTATCCTTGATATCCTTATAGAGCACTAATTAAAATATCAAGGATAAAAACCAAGAAGGATCTTAGCACAGGAAGGTTGGAAACTTTGGTAATTCTGCAGCCCTCAAATTGTCCACTGCTCTGTAAGTAAGCCTTAATAAACTCAGTAACTCACCAAACTGGACTTGTCTAAGTCATTCTTTGGACTATCATCTCCTCTCAATTTGAAGCCAGATGTTTCCTCTACATCTGCCTGAGAAATTCACACAATATCTGGCACCTGAACAGGGACCTGGAAATTCCAAAGTTAAGTCACAGAAAAAATGAGCAGGAGAAATCCTGGCATGGCCATCCTTTTCCATGTGGTATGGGGTGGCATGCCTCCTAGATGAATGTGGTCCACCATGTGAGTACAAAGATACCCTGAAAACATCTAATGGACTGGAGAGTTTGCTGCAATCCCTGATGGTATTCTTTCTGGGGAAAGAGTGCAGGAGACCTGTAGCTGGTGTTACATGGCCCTTGTTGTGAGTGGTAAGATCCACTATTGTGGCTGACTTGCCACCAAGGGGGAGATCTTGGGATGGCCGTCTACCTCCATGGGTGGAGGGGTGGGTACTATTATAGATGTCTGGGAATTGTCATGTAAGTACAAGGATGCCTTGAAGGCACTCAAAGATTTGGGTAAATATTGTCATTTATTAATGAGAGGTAAAATAGCTATGTAACATTACATCAGCCATGGAATGGCCCCTACTCGTGTAGGGTGGTGAAAAATTCCCCACTCCCAATGAGTGGGCCAAGTCAGCTACCTGGGTCATGACTCCTGTCAATATCCAACTGTGAATTATTCCATAAACCCAGGACCTTAAGAAACCCGGTCCCTGCCCTTACTGGGGTCATGAGCTCTTCCTATTGCCCACTCCCACCCTGTGGAGTGTATTTTTGCTTTTGATAAATCCTTACTGTTGTTACTCCTTCTGAGTGTACTCCTTAATTCTTTGTTTGGGATACCAAGAACCTGGAAACAACTCCAATGAGACCTTCCATCCAGCAATACTGTCCTTATAAAATCCAGATGTCAAAATATTCACAGGTTGAAAAGATAATCAAAAATAATAAAAGACCAAAACTTTCCTGGGGGTGGACATACTGCTGGGGCACACGATGCACCCTACAGTCAAAAATTTCCTGGAGGATACAGGCAATGAAGTGCACACAATGTAGTTAATACTGAACAGTACAGACTATCAGAAGGTTATTAAGAAATCATCTACCCAACCCACAGTTCTTTTAACAATCTGGTACAGCTAGTAAAAAAGCTGAATCTCCCATAATGTAACTATAGATCATAGAGAGTTAAATAAGGTGATGCAGCTGGGCTGTATGTGGTGACTCATGAGAAAAGACTACTACCTATCTGCACAAATACTTGTGTGGTCTTTAGAGGACTCACACCGATGAATGGCCCAAAGGGAAAAAGGAACACTGGCAGGTGCATGGTACGCCACAATGGATGTGGAGGGGAATAGCTTTTGTCCCCAGACTCCTGAAGAAGCTGCATTGGATGCATATAAAATCTGGGCACAGAGGAACCAACATGGGATGGAGGATAGCAAAGCCTGCAGGCATTCCCTTAAGGTATTCTGACCTTTTACATGCTTTACAGACATGCAAGGCCTGCTCCCAGCACAGGCTTGAAGGATGGATGTACTAGCTGGGCAGGTGTCTGGTATGGAATTGGCAGGAGGAAGCACATCAGGCCCATACTGGTGAGTGATGGATACAAATACATGCTCACTTCACCAACACTGATTTACAAAATTGGGTTGAGAGAAATCGAGTACAGTGGTAGTTTTATCTTTGGTACTTTCACAATCCCACAGGGTCTGGCTTGATTTTTTAAAATGGGTGGTTAAAACAATTGTTAAAATATTTAAATGACGATAATCTGCATGAGTGAAAAAGGAGAGGGAGAAAGGGAGAGGAGAAGCAGGAAGGGAAGGGGAAAAGGGAGGGGGAGAGGGGAGGGGAGAGGAGAGGGACATCAATTCCAAAAGGCACAGAGTTGCTGAATGAAAATCCTGGTGCTAGAGATGGGATACCTCCCTGTGAGGTGTTGGCCAGGGAGGTGTCTGAGCTTTGCCCCATGTACCATACAGGTTGTTGCCACTGCAGTTGGCTTAATGGCCAAACTGGTTAGTAAGTCCCTATTGCTGAAGACACCAAGTTATGGCTTTTATCTAGATGTCTCCCCAAAGCCTCATGTGCTCATAGGTAGTGTTTTGGTGAGTGACTAGATCATGGATATGTTATACTGGATTAGTCTGACAACTGTGTTAGCATAGCTCTAGGTATGGATGATGGATTTCCTGAAGATGGAAGACACCTAGGGTGTGGGTGGCACCAACCAACAGGCATGTAGCCTGGATGGAATAAAAGGGAAAAGAAGGCCCTGCTGCTTCCTGCCTGTACTGCGATGGACTGTTTCTCCCCTGCCTTGCCCCTCTGCCATGCTGCCCTGCATTGGAGCCAGCTGCCTATGGACTGAAACCCCTAAAAACTGTGAGCTAAAATAAACCCTTCCTCCTTCAGTTTTGGGTGTTGGCTATTGCATCTCAGTGAGGAGAAAGTAACTAAGACACACCACATGCTTAAGCTTCAGGACATGAAGAAATTAGTCAGAGACTGAACTGGAAGTTTGCTCCCTACTGCCTAGCATTTGTAATGTTGGAAGGTGCTGTGTTGTTCTATGCAGGCTGCCAAGGGAGAATTGTCACCAATGGTCCCGCTTTGCTATCGGCCTCATGTGTTACATTATTAGCATGGTATGTAGGATGGGTCTACTGGTATAGAAAGGAAACAACTGGTCTGGGTACAATCAATCACTTTCTAATTAATTTTAAACCTGCTCCAAGGGAGGAGACTGTATTTTGTCCTGTGAGCCAGGACAAAGACCTATTGCTGGGGAAATTACAGTACCCAGAGAAGAACCCTGTGCTGTTAAGTAGATATGATATGGCAGTGAAACTGCTAAAAGCATTTGTGCCTGTATCCATACATTACTATTGCTACTGGCCACAACTGAGGGAAAGCTCTTCTTGCAGTGAGCAGGAAGCACTGGGCAACACACAGAAAGTCCAAAAGCTGAGCATGTGGTGACCCTCCCCTCTCCAGTCAGGGGGACATGCACTGGAATGTGCTGCCATCTCCCCCAAAAAACATGAGTAACTTTATAGGAACCCCAAAACACAGATCAGGCCTTCCTTTAGGCAACAAAAGTGAGAGAACCTATAAAGATATTTATCACACTGTGCACCCATGGCTGTGTAGAATCAAACAAAGCAAACTTATCAGGCTGGAAGCTTATCAGAGGGCAGGAGGAACAGTGACCAGAGCAAACATCTTCTGAGAATAACCTATTGTTGATTGTGTGGCTGTCCTGCAGAACTGTTCTGTAACCACGCATACCAGAACCTTGAGAAGTTACTCCCAAGGTCCCTTCCTCCAACATTCATATCAAACATCCCTATCGTCAGAGTGCCTACAGATATTCTGCCCCATGCACCGTTGGGGACATGTATTTTTTATTGTTTGTGCATTGAAGGGGTGAGCACCTGTTGCTTTCAGATCTCAGACAACAGACAGCACAGAGCTGTGACCTTGGGGAAAAGACAGCACAACAGGTGAAGTCACTTTCCCCCTTCCTCTTGCCAGGGCACTTTCCAAGCCTGCAGAGAAATGAAGCCCAGAGAGCAGAAGGCAGAGGTGACAAAACTGAGCCACAGTAGCTGAGGCACTGGACATGCAGCTGAGCTCTTGGTTGGCCCCTCTTGGGCAGGGAGTGACTCAAGACCTCTGTCTGAGCTCTCTGGGTCCCCCTAACACTAGCATAGGAGGTCAGGTCCACAAAGTGCTACCAGAGGTTCCTAGCTTCCTCCTCCAGGGGTGGTACTCACAGTGATGTCCCACCTGCAGCCTGTTTTCCTCTGAGTGAAGAATTATCCTGAACCACGTACATACGATGTAATGCATACATGTAAAAACACTTATTTTTAAAATTTTTTATTATAACATTTTTAAATAGAGTGGAAATCACAGCCCTAGCACCAAGGAAGTTTCAACAGAACCAGACTTCCAGTATATTTCTGGGCCCACTGGTGGTCAAAGCCTGCCTGAATCTACAAATGCACATTTCCTGGCTTTTGTTCCACACTTCAGTAAGTTTTGTACGTTGTTTGTAGTGTTTTATACATTCCAGTGGGACAACTACCTGCTCTCCCAAATTTGCCTAATTGTGAATAAACTCACTATACCGTTAAAGGGGGGGGCACAGGTTTGACACACCTGCTTGGGTCTGATACTCCACCTCTGACAACCCAACAATGACAGTCAACATAAAGTGTAATAAAATGCCCACCTTTGCCCAGAGAAAATGTTCCTTCTCCCCTAACTGTGGCACCTCAAGTGTAAAGCAACCATTATCCATTTCTACCTATGCATAAACCAAACTATATTAGCTCAGACTTCATAACAAGGTATCAGATTGGGTGGCTTAAACAAGAAAATGTATTTGATCAGTCCTGAACAGTGGGATTCTGAGGCAAGCTCTGTGAAGGTTCTCTTCCTGACTTCTAGATATCATCTTGCTCTGTTGTGTCATCTTTCCACTATGCACACAAAGAACCTTCTGGTGTCTCTCGTAACACCACCAGTTTGGATTAGGGCCCAAACCTTACGATCTCACTGAAACTTAATTACTTGTCACATGAGTATATGGATTGACCAGTTTACAGGATGTGTTTCAGTCCAAAAAAGACCCTACTTGTGTTGCTGAAAGGCCTTTATCCTTGTGAACATTCTGATGTTTCAGGAGGTTGGTGGTGAAGGTAAAGGACTTCCCACACTCACTGCACTCATAAGGCCTTTCCCCATTGTGAACTCTCTGGTGATCATTGAGGTTAGAGCTCTGGCTAAAGGATTTCCCACACTGATTACACTCAAAAGGCCTTTCTCCAGTATGAATCCTTTGGTGTCTAATGAGGCTAGAGTGGTGGCTAAAGGATTTTTGACATTCCCCACACTCATAAGGCCTTTCTCCTGTGTGACTTCTCTGATGTCTAATGAGGCTAGAGCTCTGGCTAAAGGATTTCTCACATTCACCGCACTCATAAGGCCTTTCTCCAGAGTGAACTCTTTGGTGTTGAAGGAGTGTGGAGCTATGGGTAAAGGATTTCCCACATTTGCGACACTCATAAGGCCTTGTTCCAGTGTGAATCCTCTGGTGTGTAACAAGGCTAGAGCTATGCCTAAATGATTTCCCACATTTGCTGCACCCATAAGGTCTTTCTCCAGTGTGAACTCTTTGATGGATGAAGAGGTCATACTTCCTACTAACTAACTTTCCGCATTCATCACACTGATGAAGTTTTATTCCAGTGTGGACTCTTCGGTGTGTAATGAGGCTAGAGCTTTGCCTATAGCATTTCCCACATTCTCCACATTCATAAGGCTTTTCTAATGTGTGAATTCTTAGATGATCATTGAGGCTACTGCTTGTACTAAAGGATTTCCCACATTCAGTGCACATGTAAGATCTTTCTTTACTCAAGATTCTCTGATGTGGAACAAGTGCCTGTTTGTAGCTCAAAGTTTTCATCTGCTCTCCCCAGCTGTAGTGACTTTTTACACTAGGAAAGCCCAGTGTGCTCTTGGTTCTGCTGCTTGACTTCTCATCATTGTGAGGGGCCTGTTGCTGCAGAAAGTTTGACCTGACCAGGAAGTCCTTCCCAACATTTCTGCAGAGAAAGGGTTTCTCAGATACCTCGAATCTGTAGCTGCTCAGAAACAAGTTTCTACCCACATCACTTCTGAAGAATTTCTTCCCAGTGTGCTGCTTCTGGTGCTGATGAAGATATGCAGTAAACTGCAATTGTTTCCCACATGCCCCATCCATGTACTGTTTCTGCCCACAGTGCTGGTGCTCCATCAAGTATAAAATGTCTCTCAAGACTGGTCCACATATCTCACAGGCATAGGCCTTCTCAGGAGAAATGGGCCTTCTTTGTGCAGAAACAGTCAGCAGAGAATTTGTCTTCTCACCTTCTGCTTCACACAAACAACCTGAAAGGAATCTCTGGTTAAGTGCATGCTGACTTTGGGGGAGGGGGATCCCACAGACAAACGTGTCTGACTAGCCCAGTACCTGAGTCCAGGAACTGTTTGCAGAGTCAGGGAGTCAAGTTCAGGCTGAAGATTAGGAGGCCTAGCAGAACAGGCCCTTAAGAATCCCAGTACAGAGGAAGCCCATGGGATGCCACACAGGAAGAGGCAGGGGCTATGGCTTCCTCCTCTAGAACATCTCCCAGCCAGATCTCATCTTCTGACATGCATTATGAAGTATGTCTGGGCCCAAGAAAATGTGATAGCAAATGAGCAGCTGGCCATCAAGGACTGTTAACAAATGGGTGCACACCTCAAAACACGAAGTGCAGAAGGCAATCCTGGGGAGCACTACAGATGAAGCCGTGAGATGTGGGACTCACACTGGGCTGGATATAGGAGTAGAAGTGACAAACAATAGAATCAACAAGTCAACAAAGTGTGTCAAGAATGGGGAAAGAAAGGCAGTAATGGGTTTGGCCACCGCTATCATTATCACCAAAATATTAGTCAGAATAGGCTTCTGGTATGATTTGAACACAGGCCAGATAGGATATCTCAAACAGGTGCTACTCCTCAGGGCCAGGTTCCCTCTCACCCCATCTTGCTGTAGCTGCATTCCTATGGATCCTATGAACCACCAAGTACCATTCACCCTAACCCCTAAGGTGAGTAACTACACAGCACCTGGAATATACAAGCATTCTGTTATCTCCTGTGAACCCCAGAATACTCAGCACATGAAGGCCCACAGTAAACAAAACTACTACAGAAAGAATTTCAGAGAAAGGTTTGGCAAAAGCAGCCCATAATCCACATAATTAGTGACCATGTTGGTCACGGCAATTCCTGGCATAGGCAGGCCCAAGAAAATGTCAACTAAAGGAAGAAGTAGCACCTAAGGCACAGATGCCTTGGATCTGGAGAGTCATGTGGCTAGGGGGAGGCAAACAAGGTGAGATTCACAAGGCTGACTAAAAGATATGTGAGCCTGAAATGCTCCCCATGTTGCTCTAGTTGCAAAGCTGCTCAAGAAGAAAGGAGAACAAGATACAATCCAGCCCTGCCACCCAAAGCTCTTTCCCAGGGAAAGGAGGAAAGGAGCTGTGCCTGTGGTCCTGATATAAAAGGAACAGATCTACCCTGAGGAAGGAGATGTGGAGAGCCTGGTTCAGGGCACAGAGGTGGGTGTGAGGACCTTACCCAAGGAGGTTACAAGTGCCAAGTTCTCCAGCATCACACTGTGGTACAGGTCTCTCTGTGTCTCATCAAGGAGATCCCATTCCTCCCAGGAAAAGTACACAGCCACATCCTCAAAGATCACAGTCCCCTGTCAAGACGGGGACAGATGAAATAAAAAACAGCTCCTTGGAAAGGAGGCTCCACAAACCACCTCTCAATTCTGCCATCCCACGCCCTTCCTCCATCCAAGCTCCCCAACTGGAAGGAGAAACCAGGCAACTGGTGCTGCTGTTTCCTCCCATTTGTCACTGGATGCAGCATCAGTCACAAAAGGCAGGTGGACGACATAAAGCATGATAAAAATAGTCTGTGATTGCAAGTGGGAAAAATCATCACTTTATTTTAGAATTCTATGAAAGACTAAGCTTTTGGGCTCAAAGAATTGCTATCTGGCCATTCAGAGAATGGGTGTTTCTCATGGTTATATGATCACCATAATATATAACCAATCCACGAATTATTCATTTGTACTTTTATTAAAGTCTCTACATTTAATAAAACTCAATGAATTTTTTTAAAAAGAGGCATGTGGACCAATATATACCTAAACTGTGAGCCTGACACAGAAGGATCCTTCTGCTTATACCTGGAAGTTCCCCAGGTGTGACTGGTCTTTGCGTCTCAACTCAAGGCCCTGGAGGTGTGTGGTATACTCCCTCTCCAGTGCACATCATTCTTTAGACAACACAACTTTTGTGCCTCCAGATTCCACAGCCACATGAGCAGCATAGCCACCACCACCTCACTGCCCCATACCACAGGCACCTCTCTGGCCTCCCCACTTCCTACCTGGTCATAATCAGCTCCTCTTTACCATACTTTTGTGGTAAAACAGCAGGTAATCTATGGTTATGGTGATGACCAACCAGATGACACTGAACAATGGACTGATGAGCTCAATAGCAGTTTATTAATCATTATATTCATAGCCTGAATGATAACATCTCAAGCCAGATAGGGCCATGTGAAGCCAATACTCCAGAGAGTGAACACTTCAGGGCTAGGATGTAAGCTTTGTAGAATCAAGAAGGAGAAGAGCCTCCTGGTTCCCATAAGAAAATGGGATTGGCTTGTTTGACTAACTCTAAAGACTAGTAGAGAACTGAAATCCACTATAAAATGATAAATAAAAATTGTTCTGGTTCTCTTAATAAAAAGGGTTTGCTTGGCTAAGAAAACTTACCCACAGGAGTGGAACAACGAGGGGACTTTGCACCCAGGCCATTTGAGGCCATACTGTTTTCACCAGATTTCAAGGCAGCATATAAGACTGAGCCTAGTTTTTGGCCTTACACACAACTTGCCTGGCAGATTCAAACCGAATCCATTGTTACGCCAGCATTCCTGTGGCACCCACTAATGGTAGCAGCCCCAATACCCTGGATGAAGACCTCCTGCCTCCTGCCTCCTGCCAGACTCCGTTCTTTACAGACTTAGCCTTCAAGAAGCATGTGTGGATAACTCACACTCATGGCCCTGTTCCACTTACGTGCTGTACTTGTGGTCCCCTCAGCAGTCACAAACTTCTTCCACTATCCACCTAAGATTCAAAGGGCAAAAGCCTCAGTGGGCAAAATCCCAATGACCCTATTTGACCCTGTCCTTCTGGCCTAAAACACCTCAGGTACCATCAAAGTCTTCACAAAATCATGATGAATAAGCACTAGCTACAGCCTGAATGTCATCTTACCTCCTATGCCTCTGCACTTATATCATGTCTGCCCTTCTCTTGCAAGCTTTAGCAACCTGCCAAACTACCTATTTTTTACATACCCTCCAAGCATGGTCACTTACACCATCACCTATGTTACCCAGGTACCCAAAAAACTGACCCAATCCATGCTCCTCATTCCCTTTCTTTGCCACCTAATAGCATTACAACTACAACCCAGAGACTGTCCCTCTTAAATGTAACCCACAGTTCACTCAGTTTAGTCCACATGACAGCCAACATATTTTGAATGTCTGTATCCTGAGCCACATTCCACATTTCTGCCCACTTAACATCTCTTAGAGCCTTTGTAGGCTCTAAAAATTTCAGGCTGGTGAAAACAACCTTTCTCATATGCCTAGTGAGTAATACTCCAACTACCAACTTGTTCATCTTGGTTGATGGAGCTTTTATCCTTAGCTGTTAATATCAAAAACCTTGGGATCACCTCTGAACCCTGTTTCATTACCTCACTATTCACATTAGATAATCTAGTTGCTCCTTTTAAAAATGTGTATGCAGCCATCCCAGCTACTCAGGAGGTTGAAGCAGGAGAACTCCAAGTCTGAAACCAATGTGGGTAGCTTAGCAGGACTATTTCAAATTTTTTAAAATAAAATAAAAATAAAAGGGGCTTGGGATATTGCTTAGTGGTAGAGCACCTGGCATGCACAAGGTCCTGGGTTCAATACCAGGTACCACCAAAAAAAAAAAAAAAAGCAGCCTCAACTCTGATCTTCCTTCCTCCTCCAACTCCAGTCTATTCTCCACTCTGCAGACACACAGAGACTGTTAAGGTATATCATCTCCTTGCTCTGATACAAACTTCTTACTACCTCCAGAATAAACATCAAACTTCTCAACGGTTTGGAATTTTTTCCCCCTATGCTGAGGAGCAAATCCAAGGCCTTGTCAATGCTAGGCAGATGCTCTACCACTGAGCTAACCCCAGCCCAATGTTCGTAGTACTGACTTCAATCCCACTCTTTGTTAGCACCAGAAAGCAAGCAGACCTGTGAGAACCTAAACGTTCCAGTTTGGCATTACCTCTGAGCATGGGTGCATTTGATGTCTTTCTGGGATAACCTTCCACACCTGCTCACACTGAAGAGAAACGAGAGCTCCTTTCATACCTCTCCATACAGGCTGGCACGGACTGAGGTCCCCGGGCTTGGGGTTTCTCCAGGGCCCCAGGAACCAAGGACTGGAAGAATCCTAGAACATACAATCCACAGGACGTCTGGGGGTGTCGAGGCCACTGAGGAATTGAAGCGCCTCCCACCTAAGTGTGCAGCTTCCATAACCTTCTTTAGACATGGAAGCCGTGGGAAGTCCAGGCCTCGAGGCGACTCAGTGGAGTCGGGCTCAGCTGTCCCTGTGGCCCAGAGCCCGGAGACCTCGTCTTCGGGGTCGCCCGTCACCCCTAACCCCTCCCTGCTGCAGCAAAGAGGTGAGTGGCAGGCACCCCACCCGGAGGCGACCCGGTCCGGGACACTGCCCTTCCTTGGGCTCCTGCTCGGGCTGGGGGGTGCGCGCTGCTCACCTGGGCCGGGCCCCTCGATGCGGCCGCCATCGACTGACTCTGTGGGCGCCCGGGGCGGGAGCCGCGCGACAGGGACACTGCGGACCCGACTCTGTGCAGGGCACGACCGCTGCTCTCTGTCTTCTCGGTCCTGTCACAGCATTCAGATCCTCAGATCCGACCGAAAGAACCCAAAGTGACCGCCAGAAGAAGGCCGCCGGAAGTCCCGCCCTAACGCTACGTATGGAAAACGGAAACGCCCTCCGCCGCAGGTCCTCCTGGGTAGTGTGGTTCCAAGGCGGTGGGAACGCGGAAGAGGCTGAGCGCGTCTGTGAGGTATACTGGGAAAGGGCGACTCAGGTCCTGAGCAGGAGTAGCCTTCACCCCTTTTAAAGGGGATGGTCAGACTCTAGTCCTTCGTTATCGTCAGCTATTCAGTCACTTGTTGAGAGAGGTAATATTTCAGATGCTTCCACAGTCTACAAGTGTGTCATTTACTCAGTCACACGGTGTGAACCCCAGCTGAGAAAACAAATGACCATGGTGCAGTTCAGTCCTGTGAGGTCTGAAGCAGCAGTGAGTTTTGAGTCTCATTATGTTCAGTCAGAGATAAACTTGACAATAGTGTAAGCACCCAAATTATAAAGAGCAAAATAAAAGATAATAGGAAGTAGGGAGATAGAACTGTCTATGTTCAGTCAGGGACAAATTTTTAAATATTGTGGGAACCCAAATTATAAATCAAGAGCAAAGTAAAAGATAGGTAATAGAAAATAAGAAGGCAGATCTTTCTCAAAGGGGAAAGGACCCAAAGATGGAAGGAGTAGGAGGGAAAGGGGTTGAAAAAGAAACTGTGTCCTGTCCATGTATCAACTCCTCACAAAGAATGTAGATATGCTCTGCAAACATGTACTGATTTTTAAAAATACTGTAGATAGAAGCACGACAGGGAAGACAGGTGTCATGCTGAGGCTTCCTGCACCCAGAGTACAAAGGTGGGGCTTTGTCTAATCCATTGGCAATGAAAGGGTCAAAGCCCTTAGCAGAACTCCTCTATTAACACAATCCTGCCTGCTAGTACCTAATGGTCATAAGACAACAATGCTGGCCAAAACAACACACGATGAAAGCAAACCTTTGGTGTAAGACCAATTCCTCCTGGACCCATCTCTAAAAATTAATATGTATAGGTCTCCTTCTCTGAAGATAAAGGCCTTCTGTAATGCTGAAGCAAATACTCTTTCAAGTGGCAACTTTAAACATATAATTTTAGACACAGTGCAGAGACTTCTAGAAGATCTGTAAGGTGCTAGATGATCTGGGGGGAAAAAACATCTAACTGATCATATTGGTTGCATGGACTCTTTTTCCATATCCTCAAACTTTATAAAAACTTAAATCTCTCACCCTGACCCTCATGAGTCCTCTCTTGGAAAATCACTTGCTGTCCCTTTGACAGTGTACTGTGACCTAAATAAAGTGGCCTGAATAAACTCATGTTTAGGTTCATCCTTGCCTGGGTAATTTATGTCCTGTGTCACTGGTACTTCATAGGCCATCTAGCATGGCAGTTCCCACAGAAAATGTCTCTCCTGTCAGTTTTGTATTACTGTGTCCAATTTAGTAAGCAATACTTTGACACATTTAATATCTCTTTCTTCATATCTTTATACTCCCTTTCTTTTAGGAATCTGAAATCAATCTCAAAAGAGAACAGCAAAA